AAAAAGACAACATTGTAATTCAAAGTGGAACTTCGAATGCCCTCATTGCGTTGCAGAAATTATTCGACTGAGTACCTAATTCTTCGATTTAAATAGTAACTGCCTGACGCTGTTAATTATAATGTGAACTTTTTTGTAAACCCTTTCTTTGCTTTTATTTTAACTCTGCATTATTTTCGCAAATTTTAAATTTAATTTAAAGAAGTTAACCGCGTTGAATTTAACAAAAAAAAATCTATTTATTTCAAGCATAATTTAAAAGACGAAAAACATAAAAAAATAAATAAATTATCTACCGCTTCAAATTGAAAATTGAAAAAAAGTATTAAACATTTAAAACCATTTTTAGTTAGAGTACACCTTGCGTCCAAATTATAAGCGCACCACATATTGACAAATTTCAACTATTGAGTTTTTTGTCTTTTTTTTTATTCTTTAATAAAAATTGTTTAACCTCAAGTTTGAAACTTTGTGCATTATTTAAAAAAAAAAAAAAAAAAAATCGAGCTTCCTAATTAGATTTCTTAGAATGACTGAGAGTATGTAGTTTTTTAGCATATAGCTAGCTGGGACCTACCGTTGTTTTGGCAGTTTTTTTTTTTTGCTGACGATGTGCATTTTCTTCCATACAAAGTACGTTCGACGATTTTTTTTTTTAATGTAAAAGAAAATGCAAAGCACAGTTATCATGTAAAAAGAAATCAAAGCTTATCCCTAGCTACTTTAAACTTGAACTTTATTATATGCAGTAAAATTGAATGGGCTTCAAAATATTTCTAGTAAATCTAATTAAAAAGCTAGAAATTTTCTCGAAAGTTTGTTATTTTTTTAAAAACATTGTACAAAGCTTTTAACATAAATTTATACCGTGTATGTTAAAGAATACCTAAACTATATATTTATACAAAAAAAGAAAACAAAAATTAAATAAAAAAAAATTCATTTTTAACCTTGTCAATATGTGCTGCGCCTATAACTTTGACACGGAGTGTATCTGTGAACGAAAAATCTATTAATGAAAGTGGAATTATGTATACGAAGAGCGCGTTGAATCATTTAAGAAATTGGTTTCTTCATCTCCTACAAAAGCCTAATTGTTGTATGTGCAAAAATATCAAAATATAATTCGAAAGCAGCGGTAATTTCGCGCATTATTTGGAAATTACATAAAATGATATTTTAATTTTTGCTCATCCTACTAACTCCGAAGCCATTTTTGAGCTTCGCATTTATCTTTTCATTTTTTACTCTATTAATTCTATTTTGACTATTTTATTTTAATATTTCAATTATGTATGTTTATGTATTAGATAAAAAGGAAATAGTAAAAAGGAAAGAAAAACAAAAAGTTGTCACGAACATCTGTGATGAAGAATGTCGCCGTTGTGATATATCAAGTGGCCATCAGCATCATCTTGTATGACGGGCTTTGCTGTCTGTGAGTGTGTGTGTTTATCAATTGTATCGCAATAGATCGCATCATCGAGGAGTTCGATTAACGGGTAGGTTCAGAGCAGTTATTCGTAGTGGCATTGTTGGTGGCGCGATGGTGGTGGTGGTGGTAGTGGTTTCGGTGTTGGTGTTGGTGTTGGCGTTGGCGTCGTCGTTAGTGGCGTTGTTGTAACCAAATAGATAGACCGTTGATAGTTGGTGGTTAATGCGTGTGCGGCGAGGGATGTAGAGGAAGCAATGTTGCGCCGGTACAGCGAATTGGGTGGTAGTTGATCGATCGGGCGTTGGTCGATTGGTTGGTTGGTTGTTGGATTGGACAGTCGATATGGGGCGATTTGCAAAAACGACACAGGGTTCAGTCATGGATAAACATACATGTGAGAAAGAGAGAAAAAGAAAAAAGAAACAGAGAAAAAAGAAAAAAAAAATCCATCGTCCCACAGGTAGGGACATTGTGTGTTCAAATGCCACAAGGGTCGTCATCAACAAGAGTGATTCGCCGGCAGTGAAGAGCAAACGATAAACATTTCGCAGTCATCACCATCATCATCATCATCGTTATCATCATCATCATCGTCGTCATCAATAGCAATGCAACCGAATTCATGCCATATCCCACGTTGACACCACATTAGCCAAATGTCGTTGTCATTATTATTCATCATTAGCATCATCATCATTATTGCCACCACCATTGTACCATTGTTGTGTTGCGGAGGTGCACGCACAGTTGAAACGCCATTAAAATTGTGCGAGTGCGCAGAAGAGCAAAGCCATTTATGAAATTCACACGTCAACACCACCAAAATGTTTATCGAATTCATCATAATCATCATCAACATCATGCATAAGTCATCATCATCAACATCACGTCGTTCATCATACCCAACATCAAGTGATTATCATCATCATCATCATCATAATCAGAAAAAAACACGAGAAAAATACGTATCGTTTTTTCGGTAAGAAAATAGTTCGGACAAATTTTTGGTTTGGTTTTTGTATGTTTTTTTTTTTTAATTTTTTACAAAAAACATATTTTTGTTTAATAAATGTATTTAGTAAATATATATGCATATGTACTATATTACAACGTCCCAAGCAACGTTCAAAATTAGTTTTAATGTAAAAACAACAATAAAAGAAATTGAACTCAAACTAAAGACACAATGAAGAAAAAACTTGTTTCAGTTCGAACATAAAATTTTTTGCACAGAAATACATAGAGAGTATTTTAAAAAGTAGTAAATTGTTAGTGGTAAAGCAGCGTTAAATAGGATTAAATGTACTTTTGTATTAAATATACATATATATTTTTCACATAAGCTGATAAACTTATTGTCCTTAAAAAAACAAGGTAGTATTAAAAGCATACTGGTTTAATTTCCATATCACTTATTTTATAACCTTATTATTATATTTATTCTCAATAGCTAAGTTAGGAATAGTTAAAATTATTAAAAAATATTACTAGTCTGTACCGAATGCGATTAAATACTATATATTAGGGTGGAACACCCTCCTTACAAAAAAAGTCGATATTTTTTTCCATCGGAATTAAAGATTTTTTATATTTTAAGACTTGCGCCAAATTACTTCGCCGAAAAAAGATTTTTTACAAATGTTAATTTTTAAAATAATTTTTCTAAAAAATCTCGGATGATAGAAGACTTTAATCTTAAAAGGTTTGCATAAATATATTTTAAAATTTTATTAACGATATCAAAATAACCAGATTTTTGGAGGTATTTTCAACTCGGTGCAGCTCACGTAAATCTTAATATTTTTCTGAAATATTTAGGCGGAAGTCTTATAGACATTTTATAATTCCGATGCAAAAACCGATACTTTTTTGGAGGCACACACCCTTTTATATATTTAGGTACATACAAATGAACTATATCGACGTATGTATATGTACTACATACAACCCGCTTCACTTGAATAAGCACATTATTATTATTTTTTTTTTTTAAAGAGCTAATGTGGACATCGAAAAACCTTTATTTTGAAGAATAATTAATTTTGAAGAAAAGTGGTGGAAAAGAGGAAAATACTTCAGATACAGTAGCAAAGCAAAGTAATTAAAATTGTACTCCCGAAACTTTTTAAAGCATTTAAAGAACATTTTCAACTATAGCAAGAATGAACAAAGAAATCGTACTTTCTGTTGAAGGAAATGGGTAAAGGAATTTTCAGCATGCGCTCATTAAACGAACCGAAGTTAATAGGAACATTTTTAGAATTGGTTGTTTTGAAAAGTTTACGGGTCAGAAAATCTTTTTGATGATTCCCAGTCTTTCCTTGCGGCAAAGAGCGCGAAGGCTTTGAATTATTGTAGGACTCTAGAAAATTTGTTCAGACCGCAATTTCGTCTTCATTTATCATTAAGGAGGAGCAGATTTATCGCGTGGTTTGATAAAAGTGTAAAAAACTTACAAGGTATTTTCTTCAACAATTAATCATTCTTCGAAATGAGAGTAAACCGCAGCTTCTCCGAAGGCTACAAATATGTAATGATATAAGCTTGCTTCCTGCAGAAAAATTTGAAGCATGCAGTTTTGTAGCCCGTTTTTCGTATAAAAAAAAAAAGATTGTGTTCAAGCGTTATATGGAAGAAAATGAGCTACACCTTCAGCGAAAAAAATTCTCAAAAATCAACGGTAATTTTGAGCGACTTGAAACTTACACTTTATAACATTAAAATTTAATGGGCTACAAAACTGCATACCTGCATAAGAAATCGAGTTGAAACATGTAATATTTCTTGCATTTTTCCCCCGAGTTCCGTATGAAATTAAAAAATTAACTCCATTTGTTTTTGCTTTTGAATTAACTATATTTTTATAAAAATATAAAGAAAATTTGGTATGGAAAATATAGATAAATAAAGTTGCCAAAACAACAGGGTATACTAATTTTTGACGCACACTATATATATTATTAGCCTATTTCGAAGTTAATGATGTTGTAAGCTCAAAACAGATTTCAAAATTATTTACATGTTTTTTTTTTTTGCTATAAAATGTTATAAGCTATAGGTCTTTTAAAAAAAAACCCCACCCATTTTCTAGTGATTACGACTTATTCACTACTGATAATAACTACGACTTTTTATTGTATAAAGATTGCATAGATTAAGAACTCGTAACAAATTTGTAATATATAATAATAACAATAAAAATAATAGATTGGCGCTTACACATATGCTAGTGTTTGGCCGAGCTTTTCCTCCGATTTGTGGCGTGCGGGACCTACAGTTTTACGCCGACTCCGAACGGCGATTGCATTTTTATGAGAAGCTGAGAAAATTTGTTGCTTATTTCTTTAACATTTAGTACAATCAGGATAACAGTGAAACCTTAAGTAACGGCAAATATTTCAGTAAGTAAAATTAAGTAAATTGTTATTACATGCAACATTGCAAATAATACAGTTGCCGTAAAACCGGAAATGCACATGTTAGTATGTAGGAGATTTCAATCGCTCAAGCGGTTGCTAAGAGGTTAAGAGAACTGTCTGGCGTTTCATAAAAAAAAAAATGAAATTTTATTTATTTCAAAATTTATTCGCTCAAATGAGGAATATTCGTGAGCTGTTACGTGTTGGAAAAACCTGTGAAAGTTGTGTTTTCTCAATAAATAGCCTCTGTCTATAGTAAAATGTGTAAACATAAGCGTACTGCATTATTTCTTTTCAAGAATTTTGCTTGCATGTAAACATATCTTTTTTTTTTGAAATTATATCTATAGAAATTATGAAAGCAAATGTGCTTCTGATTTATCAAAATTTAATTAATCGAGAAATTAATCACATTCGATTAATCAAAAATTATTATTCTTTGATTAGTTTATTAATCAGGTTTTGATTAATCAGCTTGATCGATTAATTGATTAATCGCACTAACTAATATCAAACTTTAAGATTCGACTGTAAATGCCGAAGATATGACGAAAAATGAAAAAAGTGGATACCTACGTTCGACAAAAGAAAAAATAAAATATAACCTGCTCCTTTTTCGAAATCAGTTAAAAATGAAATTGCCTTCTAATCTAAATAGTACTTTAGAAAAAGTTTAACGATTTTTGACGAGCAAATTATATTACTGATATTAGTGCGGTACGTTAAGCAGGAACTGAGATCTGGCGGTTAAGTACTAGAACAGGTTACTTGAGGTCAACGAACTTGCGAACAAAAAATCGTCTCGTCGAGACAAGTACATCGATCGATTTTACAGGCATTTTCAACGCGCTCCAGCACACGACTGAATTTGAATTTCGCGCCCTAATATTTTAGAGGGAACCATAATTATGTTGGGGTTCTTGAATCACCCTAATTTACATATAAATGGATTTAGAGTTAAAAAATAACTTTGAAAGTACATTTATACTCGTAAATAATTTAAAAGAGAAATCAAATGTTAAATAAATACATAAAACAAATAAATCAATTTAAAATTCATGCAGGTATAAGCGAAACTCGATAAACCGAATACACCATAATCCTAAATATCGGTAACTCGTTTGGTCATTTTTATAATACTGACTGCCATCCGAACTGATTACGATGTTGTAATCTGAACGCCATGATTTTCTAAGATTTTTTGTTGAGTTCAGCATTTATGTGAATATAAAAACCTGCTACAGTAGCAAGTGTTTCCAAACTGAGCTCGAACCGCCTTTAGCAAATTCTATTTTCTTTAATTAATTCTTATAAATTAAAACAATCCGTTAATCTGAATGTTTCTATAATCCGAATTGAGTCTGCAACCATTAGTTCAGATTATCGAGTTTTGACTATACTTTGAAGGATGTAAAGTAAGTGTAATATGTTTCAATTGTTTATGATTTGAATGTTTTACTGTATAGCAAATAAGAGCTGTACAAATGAGGAATTTCGGACACCGCACCCACACTTGAGATTATATAATTTTTATCAGTTTAAAAACATTTCGGTGTAGTTAGAAATCCTTTAAACCTATTTTAATGATTGTTTTAGTTAAAAAAAATACTAACGGTTAACACGTCTTTTGTGAATCCCCTAAAGATTTTAAGCTATTTTTAGACAAGTTATTTGTATCGAATTGTTTTGTTCTGCTTCTTTCACACTAACCTTCCTAAAGCCTGACTGTGTTACCCTTTCCCCAGACTCATGCGCAAGCATACCGCTCCCCTCACTTAAGACTTTAAAGCTCATTTGCTAGGTTATAAAACTTTTGGAGGCGCCGCCACGTGCTGGAAAGCGAGCAGGACCAAGCAAGCAAGCAAACTCATACACGGCAGATGGAGGCACACATGTAATCATCACACAGCTCTAGGTATGCAGCAGCTAAGCAAGCAACTTCCAACACGCCATGTCATAACAACAAAAAACTTAGAAAAATCGTTTTAAATATGCGTTAAACTAAATGAAAAAATTCAATTCACACAAATTACAAATCGATTAGCTTACAAAGGCAGAGAGGGTTTTTGGAATGCGCGATCGCTGAAAGAGTGCCGCACTTGTGGCGCTCTTCGACAACATATGCTGCTGATATTGTTGGTGCTGCTGCTGTTGCTGTTGATACGCATGCATTTGCTGGCGCTGATAGGCTGAAGCAGATGACGACGAGAACGCAGCAGCAGCACCAGCACGCCGACTGCTGGCAGCGCTGGACCCACTACCGCTACCATACGAATAATATGGATCGAAAAGGTACGATGATTTGTATGAATCGCTCAGCAGCAGATTCTTGTGCTGCTGATAACGACTGTTGCTGCTGCTGCTGCTGCTGCTACTGCCGATACCGCCATCAGCCGGCGAGCCCACACTGTCCAACTCAGCTAATAGCGCTGCAGTGCGCGAAGTTGCAGCGGGTTGATAGCGTTGTGTACGGCCAGCGGCAAGACGTTCACTGATGCCGCCGAACGCCAAGGCGCCAGAGCTGGACGAATGCATGAGACCGTTCGATTTGAAGATGGGCCCAGCGGTCGGCCTATACTTGGAGAGGTCATTATTGTTGCGATCAGCGTGCAGTGAGGCTGTAGCTGTAGCTGAATAATTTGCCGAGCTGCCATAGGCTGTGCTCGCTGCTGATAGTGTCGATTTAGACGTTGTGGTTGTGGTTGGTTTGATTGTGCTGAGGTTGGTGGATGTTGTGGTTTTCGTATCGTCTTGTGTGTCTTTGGTTGCTGGTGTAGTTGTAGTTGTAGTGGTGGTAGTAGTAGTACTGCTAGACGGGGTAGGGTTTGTGGACTTAGCCTCCTGACTACTGCTATCAGACTCTTCAGAGCTACTCTCCTCAGAGCTATCACTATCAGAAATTGGACTAGCTACTTTTTTAGGTTTGCTTGTTGCCTTCTGCGTTGCTTCCACAGCTTTCGCGTTGCTTTCCACATTATTGCAGTTGGCATCTGACGCGCCACTTGTCTTTGGCGACGCAGCATCCGCATCGTCTGCGGCATCCTTCTCCTTCTCCTTCTCCTGCTTCTTTTTCGCTTTAATTTGCTCAGCTGCAGCTGCGGCGGCATCTTCTTGCGCATAACGCAGCGCGCGCTCCTTAAGCTCTTTGCGTCGGCGCATGCGCTCTTCAAATTTACGCGCCTCCAAGAACTGATTATCCTCCTTGAGTAGCAGTAGGATCGCCGCATTATCAGCCGATGAGCGTTCATCATTTAGTATTTCACGATCTTCATCCGTTAATTCTTCTCTGGGTGGCGGCGCACGTTGCGTGTAATTTTCTCTGCGCCGATTAGCAAAACGATTACGCGAATTTGGTACACCGTAATCGTCGTGGTCTGGACGGTTTGACGAATGCGCGCTAGGCGTTGTGTCTATAGCGGACGAAAGTAAGTTCTCGGAGGTCTTATTACGTCCGTAACCACGCGCTCGTCGCGAGCTACCGCTGGCTGTGTCATAATCATCGTGGACATCACGACTTCTATAGCTGCGCGCATTGTAACCAGCGGCATAATCGGGACCGCGTCCATAGCGGCTGGTGCCAGGTGCATAGCCCATTGCGCCGCCGGCCTGCAAAGCCTCATAGTTTTCCAAATGATGGCGGGGCACATCGTGGTGTCTGCGATATCTGCTAGCGCTATAATCCAGTGGATAATTGTCATCGAGCAGCGCGTGGTCGGCGCGACTGCCATTCGTGCTGGTTAAGTAACCGCTGTCATTTGAGTCGCCCAAATACCGATTGGTTTTATTTCTAGCTAGCCGGTATGGGGTGCGTTCTTTGCGATCGGCGGCATTAAAGGAACTTGAGGATAATTTCGGGCGGCCAACGCCCAACAGCTGGTGTGAAGTGGCTGATTTGGCGAGTGGATTACGGTTTTCATCAGGTTCCAGAGTTTTATCACGATCATCGTCGTGATGCCGGTGACGATCCAAGATGTCTGAGTATTTGTTTTCAAAGCGGGAGATGGCCGTTTGTTTGCCAGAACCGGACGCGGTGGGAGTTTTGTCTTTATCATTGTCTTTTCTCTGCGTACAAGGCGAGGGAGTAGGCAAAGGAAAGTTTTTGAATGGAAAATAGAAATAAAGACTTCCAAAAGGATTTGTTTTGAAAATAGCAAAATAGACACAAAGAAAAAAACGTCGCTGTTCGAGTGGGTGAAAACTTACTAATTTAGTTGATTTCAAAATTTAAGTAATTAAATAAACCCAATTAAGCCTACTCGCGCTGTAAATAGCTACACAGATTAGCCGACGCATTGACCAAGCTTTCACACACACTGCCAAATTTTCAATTAACTCATAAATTTGACAATTCAAGTATTCAACAATATGTATAAATATAACACAATTTCTCAGCGCAGGTATTTATGTATGTATGTATGTACATTCAAACATATGTACGTTTTCTAAACTTATGTACTGCCGCAGCCAATAAAATGTTCCCGAATCGACCTTCAAAATGGATGTACAAGACTACGCACACACACATGTGCTGCAAACATAACTAGAAAGGTATGTAAAGTGAATGCGGCGATACAACCGAAATAAAATTGCGATCAAGTAAGAAGAAGAAGAAGGAGCAGCAGATTTCGGCCATAGCGCACCGAATGTGTGGGCAAAAAATACCGACACACTTGAATTTACATGTGTATTAGACCGGGTCCGTACAAATACAAAAAAAAAAAAAAAACGTTTGTTTGCGGAGGGCATACCTTACTGTGAAACCTAGTTTTTAGAGAGAATATTGTAAAAAAAAATTGCACCCTTTATATGCGTACTAAAATCAGACAAAAATCGAGTTGTCTGTCTTCTTACATTTTTTATATATGGCTGGATTTTGAGGCGTGATAGCTCGATTAAAAGGAATTTTTGAGACTAAAGAACATGAAACGACATGAAAAAATGGACAAAACACTTAAACTATTTATTTTAGGGTAACTAAGTCTGACAGCAATCAAGTAGAAATTTAATTGATTCACACAAATTAAAGAAATATGTAGTACTTACTAAAATACAGTCAACGCCAATAATATGAATACCTTGACGTTTGTGGCGATTTTCTTTATTTATGTTTTTAATACCAACTTTTTATAATTTTATTTAATTATTTTTTAATAAATATATAGCTCATTTCGCAGCAAAAATCAGCACAATTAAATTTTTCAATTTCATATGGAATTCGGAAAAATTCAAGAAATACCAAAAGATTTTCATCAGAATTTTCAACTTTTCAATTACATTTGTATGCAGTTTTAAGCCCATTAAATTTTAATATAATAAGTCTATAAGAATTACAGTTGATTTTTGAGATTTTTTTTTCGAGGGAGTTTCGCAAATTCTTCCATATAACGCAACAAACAAAATCTATTTTTTTTATGGAAAATATAAATAAAGATAGTCGACAGTATTCATATTTTTGACGCTGACTGTATATCTCTATCTCTTCAACTATGTATCTAAAATCACTTGAAATAGGGTTAAAAAAAAACATTATGTTTGCAACAGAGCTTTCAAACCATTTGTTCCAATAAGTAACTTTTTTTTTTGCCACCCAGCCTAATGTGTATGCACCTCAGTAGATTTATGTGATTACCCGAAAATTTTCGCTCTCGGCCACATAGGAGGCCACTGAGACACGACAAGTGTGAGCGTGTGCTAAAAACTAAACATAAATGTTTCGGCCAAATTCATGCGCACACACACACACACTCGGACTCGGTGAACGAAAACAAAATTTCGAAAAAGAAAAAATTGCTTGAAAGCAAAGAGATTATTTTGCTGTTTGCCCGATTTAAAAATATATACGTAAGTATATTTTCAAAAAAAAAAAGACACAAAAATATTAGAAATAATTATTATTGATTTAATTAAAATTGGCTGCACTTTGAACGCAGTAAAGTAGTAGCAGCAGAACCTAACGAGCTGTACAACGTACGCTGGTAAAAGCCGTCAGGCCGCATTGAAACATTTTGGAATAAATAATTTTGCCTTAAATATTTAATTTTATCTGCATAGTCTACACACAAAATTTTTTCATTTTCCACTTTTCCGCTTTGGAAAATAAACAAATGATTCACCTGGATTAAATTTAAAAGCTGCATAACACCGTGCGCCGCATATGAAATTAATGCGCGTTCGCTAATTTATTTTTAGAAAAAAATCTAACAGAGACGTTTTCAATATACTTTAGGAAAATTTTGCTATTTTCAAAATTTTAATCAAGTGTGCAAAATACTAACATCATCATCGGCACGCTTGCCAAAGCTGCGCATTAGCGGCTTATAATAGGCGCTAACCGGGCTTAGATTCGAGCGCAATCGATCGAGCGCCGAGGCGGCTGTTGTTGAGCTCTTCTGATAGCGGCCCGTGCTGGTGCCGGCTCCGCTATAGAAGCCTCCGCCATAATAACGCCTGTGGCGGTCACTCATTGAGTTGTTGTTGTTGGTGTTGTTGTTGTTTTTGTTGTTTGTAGTATTTTCAGCCTTATCCTTTTGCTTTTCGCGATCCTTCGCCAATTTCGAGTTGTTATTTTCTGTGGAATTTGTGGGCGTCTTACTGCAATCACGCTCGTTTACGTCGTTCAAGGGACTTTTCAAATCACTGTAGATAATAAGTTAGTAGTTTGTTATAATTATAATTTTTTTCTTTTTTTAAATAAGTGCACAGTCTTTCATCGATCGAGCAACACAGAAAACGACACCGCTGCGACATCTTCGAGCGCACTCGTACGCGCACCGATCACTCACTCACGTATGTACTATATGTATATTAAATGCTCGCGCACTGATCATGTCGCGTTGTTGGTAAGTATGTACGTTTTGCAACTAAAATATCTAGTACACAGATTTGGGTGAAGGTAATAAAGTACCTTAAAAAATATTTATTTTAATTTGTAAATACTTTTTTACTTTTTTTACGCTTTATTAAACCATAGTTTGCCACTTAAGCACAACATTAAATAAACTAAAAATTTGGTTAAAACAATGGTTTATATAATATATGTATTTCCATGAATTCTAGTATTTTTAATATTTTTTTTTTTTTTTTTTTTTTTTGAATACACTCGTTTCAGAATATTTTTCTATCGATTTCGAACGTCACAATCTACGACGCCGTATGTGACTTTAGACGACGGATACGCCGCGCCATAAGCGCAAATGTTAACTGAACCAAAAGGCACAGAAAGAAAAATTTCAAGCACATTTTCCTCGATCCATATACTATAGGTGTAGGGGTATTGCCGATGTACGGGCATGCATACACACATATGTGCTCGTTAAAAGTATGTATGCATATGTATATGAAAGAAAATATTGAAAATATTGTGTGAAAATCATGTGTGCCAGCAAAGCATCATATGCAGCTGTTTGGAGGAGCACAAATGTGTATTTAAAAAAAAAAAAAAAAAAAAAAAAAAATGAAACGAAGAAAAACACAATAAAAATAAAAACATCATCAACATACGGCAAGCGGGGGCGTTTAGAGCTTTTCCAAGCGTTTTTCGCATTATCGTAGATTCCGGCCGAGTGCGACCACCGGTATGGTTATTTTTGCAATTTTCAGTCAATTCTCTACGAAATGGAAATTTTGACGATGTTCAGGCTTCGAAAGGTGAAAATTTTTGAATTTTTAAGGTACCAATACTTTAAGCATTCGAGAAAAAATCAAATTCGTAAAAAAACACCTCAGTTCGAATCCAAATAAAAAGTAAAGTTAAATTTTTCGATTTTCACAAGCTTGACACACCTGGTTGTGGCAAAAACTATTTTTGGAAATTTCAGACAGACAATATTTCAAAAACAAGCGATATGTATGTATGTACAGTGGACCGTAGCACCTTAGAAGTGCACAAAAAAAAACGTCAAGACTTATTTTAAAGGACGTGGAAATTTTAAAAAATTAAAAAAAAAAAAAATATTTACAAATTATTTTAAAATTTCTCGGCTATATTCACCACGTAAGTGGAGGCTGGAAATACACTATTGCTATGGCTACCATGGTATACAGTAGTATTTATTTAGGTTGCCGTTCTAAAGATTACCGAGGAATAATCCTTCCTCTCAAAGTGCCTATAACCCTTTTAGCAGATCTAATAAGAGTTTGGGGTGCAACTTTGTACACATCCTGCGTGTTCTCAAACCAAGTAGCCCTCGGGTATTGTCCAGCGTAGAGTTCTTGATGGCGCCGAACGTAAGCAAAGGCGGTATCTCAAAGTTTACCTGCCTCCTTTTTTTCAGTAAAACAGTTATCGTTCAGCAGTCTTCGTTTTTATTACAGATGACTTTAATAATTCAGCGGGTAGTTAAAACTGTTTCACCTCACAACTACATGCTAATCTAATTCACTATGGTCTGAAACCCAATAGATATGCAACCGCTGCCTAAAAAGTACAAAACTGATTAGGCAGTTTAAATGGCTGTCTAATGCCCAAAACCTTGCAGTGGATTCCAACTTCTACTCCGGCCGTCATTTGTGCAGATATTAAAGCACTACCAATCCATAGTATATGCTCCTTTTTGTCGATTATGGTCTGAGACCACCACCTCTACCACTTGAAATGGCAAGCCATGTAGTCCTTATCAAATACATTTTTCCTGCCTGCAACTGATCTCCGCCCGTAAGTTCTTTGAGTAAGTTCAACTGTCGCCAGCAGCCTGACAGCGGAATTAGCTGCAAGATTCTTCAACTCAAGGCATCCTGATAAAGGTTAAATAATAAATGGGAATGATGTTCAAGGTTCTCACAAAAAGGTCGCCGACAGATTCATACTACATATAGTGAAAACAAAGAAATGGTAGCGAAATGGTTCGAAATGGGCACCTAGAAGAATAATATTGTATGGATCGATATACCGATTCAGATTTGAATAAAATAAAATTTTTTCATTGGCAACCATTCAGATGCTGCCTTTTCAATTACTAAATGTAATCACAAAGTATGTCTGCAAAAAAAAATCCATTTTAAAATCCAAACAAAGAAATGGTTTGCCATAGCTTCATATGGAAAACAAAACAAAGACATTTTACAGGGAAAATATTATAAAACGTAGAAAATATTTAATTAATTCCGCATACGTCAGCGCTGAAAGTGTCAGTGTCATTGCAAATTGTAAATGAAAAGATCTTAAATCCGGACACGGAAGCGTTACACCTACATACGACGTGCAAAAAAAGTATGCATGTGCAGATGAATGTGCGTGACGAAAACTTGAAAAAGCTTCTTCTATTAGCACTTAATAAATAAATGTATGCATTAATTAAGCTAAAGTATGCACCTTGAACTAAAAAATTAAAAAGAACGCATAATTTGTATCATTTCTTCTTGTCGTCCGTCCATACAGTGCGCAAACATAATTTGGTATTCGACAAAAGAAAAGTATCAAGAGCAATATTTTTGGTGTAGAACGCAAGAGAGGCGGTGAGAAGCGATTGCTACTGCTTAAATGTAAACAGGAATTATGAAGAGCCAAACACTTTCACACTTTAACGCTTATGGAAGATACTCAAAGGCTAGCAATTATAAAGTCTATTGGGAGTGGGAAGCGCCCAGGTGCGCGTGTGTGTTTCATGGATGTTCCTCGGTTGTTAAATATTGCTCTCTGGACACATGCTCGCGCACACATCTATACACGTACATACATATACTTTAATGTGCACAAGGTGAATTTTTAGTGGGCGTTTTTTGATAGCTTCTGAGAAAAAGCTTTCAATATTATTAGCACCAACAATTGACAACATTTCGTATGTTGTTTTACATTTGCTTTTCTTTTTTCGGACAGGCAGGCAGGCAGACAGACAGACAAACAAACAGAAAGTGAGAGAGCGAGAGAAAGTATGCGAGTGTGGAGGCGAAACAGAGAGAGAAAGAAATTGCTATTTTTAAAAGGATCACTTCGGCGGCGTACACTACTTATTAGTGTGCAAAGTTAAAACCACCGAAATCTTTTTGACGTAATATTTTGCAATTAAATTTAATTAACATTCAACGGTTCTTATTTATTTTTTATTGATAATTAAAATTTTTTTAGAATTTTTATATACTGTGACGCGCGCGTAATTCATAGCGACATATTGTTATGGCATTCCATTTTTCACACACAACAATAACAAAAACAAAAAAAAAAACAAAAATCGACAGCAACGTCAAAATGTGGCAAACTATTTTTAGCGTTGTCAAAAACACCGCAACAACCTGGCGTACAAGACAAAAAACAAAAAAAAAAACACTTTTTAGCTATGAAATTATGACAGTTTAATTATGTTACTGTCTATCTGCTCTCAGCGCACAATACGCGCTTTGACTTCGACCGAAAGGACACCACTTCTTTCGCGCTTGAAAATTTAAAATTTACATAACGCGTTTTCTTTTCGAAGAATCGTTTTACTTATAAATAAATGCAATCGCAAAGGCGGCACGCGGTTTCACTCCTTCTACGCTGCGTACACGCAGTTCGCACGCATCGGACCACTTGCATGCGTGTCCGTTCACTCCGCGACACGTACGACAATAATGCCGCGCTACTGCTGGCGATCTCAACCGTTCGCTCGCTGCTCGAGGGCGCTCGATGACCCATCGTCGTTTTCTGTGTTTTTTTTTGGCTTTCGCCCCGATTTTTGATGCAGTAATGCATTCTCCCCCTGCCCTGTCCGCCCACTCTCCTTTACTATTTGCTTTTGCTGCTATTACCGATTTTTCTTCTGCTGTTGCTGATCTTTTGCTGTTTTATCGGGTCGTTCGCTCGGATTGCGCCGAAATCTTTGCAACAAACTGTTGCAACTTTCGGACAGCAGCTGTGTTACGCTCGCCGCTGTTGCGCTGCGTATGTAGCGACGCTGTTGGCGTGGTGGCTGCGGCTGCTGCTGCTGCTGCTCCTGTTGTTGTGTAGTTGTTGTGTTAGTGTTGGTGGCAGACGTCGATGGCGATAATGATGTTGTCGATGTGCTCATTGCGTTGTTCGTTGTTGTTGCGGATTTAGCAGCTGATTGCGACGGCGCTGTCTCGTTGGCGTCTGTAGTTTTTTCGACACCTCTGCCTCCTCCTCCTGCTGTGACGCCGTCGCCACCTCCACTGCTGCCCGCATTTTCTTTGTCTTTTTTCTTTGTTTTATTGCCACTATTCTGATCCGCCGCTGCCACCAACACTTGGCGTTCACTCTTTTCGCGATGAAAGCGATTCAAGAATGTTGTGGCCATAGCTGATTTACGTTCAGGTATGCTTCCTTTATTTGCGTTGTTTTGTTTTTGTTTTTTTTTTTGTTAATTTTGTTGATACTTCTCTAAGGAATGGTTTGATCTGAAGAATCTTCTGAGTGCTTTAACTTGGCAATGTTTTTACTTCCTTTCTTTTGTATTTTATTTGCAGCTTGTTTTACGTATGAAATACTTTTGGTTTCTTTATTTTCGAAAAATTGTTTGCCGTTTTCGTAAATCTTTCGAACTTTTTGCTATGTAAGCATTTTGCAATCACATAGTTTTCACACATATCTTTTTTGAATTGTTGACTTACGAAAGTTTCGCACTGAATCATTTGTTTAATTATGTATTTAGTACATAATTATTTTTAATAATAATTTGGTCATCTAACGCGCACAGTATCGAAACAAATAAAATAATAATAATTAGTGATCTAACAGGAATTAATAAATCTGTGGTAATAAGCAATCGTCGCCTTACAGTCCTATTCTGCGCTGGTAATACTGGTAAAAATCATTTTGTAACCGATAAATTAATTAATGTTTGTTAATAAAAATTGTAGAATTCGGTTATGCAGAATTTAAATGAAAAAAAAAATAAATAAAATAAAAATTGGAAGCAGTTTTACCACTTACAAAATTTTAGGTCAAAACAGACAAGTATTTTTTGGTTTATTTTTTTTTTTCTACTAACCCAGTACATTATTTTGTGCCCGACTTCGCCATTACCATTTTTATCATTTCATTGCATAACGCTGTATTTTCACTGAGCATTAAATGACACAGCTTTTAAAGAGAATATTGTGCCGAATTTCCACCAGGCATTGGAATGAATGCTATTTAAAAATTGCCATGTGGAAACAGACATAATGATTATTTTTATTGACGTAACGGCACGGTTATTTTGTATGCCCAACATGGTCATTAACAATTTTTTTCATTTAATACCTGGTGGAAATTCAGCATTAGGCATTAAAAAATACACAATACGACACCAAGGCGAATTTTAACAAGGTGATGTTACTGGCGAATTTAGATTTTCACCGCGGTGCTTCCTATTGACAAAATGATGTGTTTGGTGTAATATGAATTCGCCTTGTTTACAACAAACATATCATTTTGACATTAGGAAGTACCGCGGCGAAAATCTAAATTCGCCAGTAACACCTCCTTGAATAATTTCGCCTTGCACGACACTTTCTTAAGGGCGCAAATTTTTTACCCCTTCAATGCCAATCATATTGCTGAATTTACACTCTGCATTATATGACAAAAAATTTTAAAACAATTATGGTGGGCATCAAAAACCGGTTTCGTTAAAATCGAGACAACTCCTCATGCAGTTTGTTTCATGCCAAAAATTTTCGTATTTTTTGTAATTTCAATGGCTAGTGCAAATTCGGTATAAGGGTATGGAAAGTACAATGACAACAGTTATCTTTTATGCTGACATTCTACTGGGCATTAACCTCCAGGTTTTTTTTTGTTTGTGTTTCGCGTGCACAGAACACGTGTGCTAAAGGGACGCATTTTGTGTATATTTTCGTTTCACATTTGTTTATAGCTACAAAACGGCATTTCCTTTTATTTGTACAAAGAAACGCGATTTGACCTTAAATGCTAAACATTGGAATTCAGATTGGGAAATAACACAGAGACAAATGAGCAGTGAAATGGGCGAAAATCATTTAGTTTTCCAAGCAATTAGTTGCGGAGCGAAATATTTTCCACTAAAAAAAGATGCGCTTCATATTTTTTTTTTTATTAAAATATTACTTTTGAAAAAATATCGCTAATAAATAAAAAAAAAATATATATATTTTGAAAACAGCATTTTCAGCGCTTCTGAAACTTTCGCTCGACAACTTATGAAATGCATCGAATCTGAAATTTAACGGAAGCAGTTTTCGGTTGCCACAGCAACAAAAATGCATACTATGTATTTTTAAGGGTGAAAACCCACACGCTGGGGGACAACGATTGCCAGATGCAAGCCACAAACATATACTACATGCGCCTTCCTCGGGGAGATTATGAGCGATAGAGGGGCTGGGCTCGCTGGGCATATCCCTTTGTGTTCACTTGCCGCTCGGCGAAACAAATAATAATAAATCATTAATGCTGATGTTTTCTATGAACTCAAAAACAAAACCAAAAAAAAATTATGTAGCTATGACAAAAATAGCTGCATGTCTAAGAATATTCGCTATTGCCAATGTTCATGCTCGACCGTTTGGCCACTTCTTGGGTTTTGCTATTGGCAAAAATTGCTGTACATATAGTTTATGTATTGCGACGCCAACTCTTCTTAGTGTTGCTAATAGGGCTGGGACTATCTGCGAATTGGGATAACCGCATATCCGTTCGAATATTCGTGTATACGAATAAAATCTGTATATCCGGTTAATATCCGTTAATTTTGTTATCCAGATATCCGTTCAATATTCGTTTTTTTTTTTTATCAGGTATTCAAGAAATCTAGATTGAACTCCCTGCTAGATCTCTTATTAAAAATCGACTATCCGGCTATTCGGTTAGTCGACAAGTCGATTAGCACTTTTTTTGTTATTCAATTAATTCACTTTCGACTAACGGCTTACCATCGAGTAGTCTGAAAATCGACTAATCGAAATTATTCGAATACTGAAAGCTTTTCACAAATAAAATTATTTTTATTAGCGCGGTTGGGTTTTGTCAAAAAAAAAAAAAAAATGCTTACCACTAAAAAAAAAAAATATGAAAACCACTTGTAGAAAATTTAAAAATGAACGGTTAGTCCGACAAGTTGTTAGTGAGCGGTTAGTTAAAAAAGTCGAAAGTGAAGTCGATTACTTTTCTGAAACAACTTGTGTTATTCGACTAACCGAATAGTCGGCTCTACTCCCTGCCCTAATTGCTACGCTGCTTCATCGAGTTTTTTTTTTCTTTTGATTTGGATGGCTGTCGTTTTAGCTGCTTGTTGATTGCTGTGTCTATTCTAGAAGTTGGTCGGTTCCCGTTTTTGTGGGTCTTTTGCGTCAATACTGTGCGCATTGCTTTTGTTATTATATTTGGATGTGTTTTATGCTAAGCATTTTCAGATATATAATTTTTTATATTAAATTTGAATCATCTTTTTTATATTATACAGCTTTTTTATGACCACATTAAATTAAGAAGATTTGTTATCATTTTGGTCATAAATCACTGCGCGTGTGTTTAAATTTTCAAAAATTATTTCAACTACAAGTTTAGCGCCAATTATTTCATTCATTCGTCTAAACATCTAACACTATCGCAATTTTCCAATTTGTACATACAAATTTTGTCACATTCACCAATTTTATGCATTTTCAAATAATTTAATTTGCATTCCATTTTCTTCAACACATTTTTATGAGTAAAATTTTGCAACCAAACTATTTTCGTGTTTTCTCACTACGTAAGCGCGAAGTTATTGCAATCGTTGGTAAAAATTCTTGTAAAATTTTTCGAAAGTTTTTTTTTTTATTTTTATTTTTTTCAGTTTTCTTTTTTCAAAACGATTACAATCCAATAGACGCCACGCTAAAAATGAATGCACGCCCGCCACAACCGAATTTCGCTTGCCACTAATAATAAAAATTTTCAAAATACTTCACTTCGAAAATGACCACGAATAAAAGTGTTCGGCAGCTGGCCGCGAGGCGTATCTACATACATACGTACACACATAGCTCGTGTACATTTATTATGTGTGCTCAGCAGCGGAGTCATCAGCGTTGCCAGCGTTAGCGGTGGCGTTGATGCCATGCCTTACAGCTGAAATGCTCAAAGCAATGCAGCGGGCGTTGGCGTTGGTGTTGTGGCTGGCGTAAGTGTCGCCCTCAGCATCATTGTTGTATTGATGGTTGTTGAAATGTTTTCGAAAATTTCAAAATGCTTTTCTTTAAAATAGTGTTACTATGGCGATGTGCGTGTGTAAGAAAAAAAAGAGATCATAGTGTGCGCTCCTTTAAAGAGTAAAACTTTATTTTCCCCCATTCTTGAATGAGCTACATTTGCAAAGTTGCTCAATAACCCTCAGATTATGTAAAGCGCATTCACTTGCAACAGCAGAAGAGATATAACATTGTTTTTAGATAGCGGTAATAAAGAAATGATGAGAGCATAGTGAGATGCAAAAAGTTATTCGAAAAGTCAATTAAGAGCTAGCATTGTAGTGAGAACATTACATGAACTGTTGTTGCAGCAGTGTGGCTCTTTCGATTCGAGTGAAATAAAGATCAAGAACACGAGAGAGAGACGATCATCACAATAATTAAATTATAACATTGAAGCAGTAAATTTATGAATTTCGGAATAAATATGTATTTTCTGCATATACAAAGAAGGCTTTTTTAGTTACTAGGTTAACAGATGCCTTGAATAAGTGTGACATGTAAGCTCTATGTCAAGCAAGTGTGGGTGCACTCAAATTATCACAAATTGCAAGTCTGTGTAAAACAGCACAATCCTGTTGAAACAGTCGATCATCAAATATCAAAGGAGCTCATCGTTTACGTTTATTGTACAGAAGATCCAAAAATTGCATCCCGTACAAATCGCTCCGTCCTAATGCTCATAAGTGTAGGTCTTTGCATTGTCTTTCTTATGCACTAATCTCAACTCGTACAAGGTTTTTCAAATTCGGTGACCCACTGTAAAATTGTCTGCTTAAAATTTTCGTGGAACATTTTAACCTATTAAGGACATTTTCAACGAATTTCCTTTATAGCTGTTTTGATAACGAGTCAAAAATGCCCATTTAAGTAGGAGTTGGAGGGTTAAAATCTACTACAACAAAATTGCTCATTAAATTCTACTGTACAAGTCTGCTGCCAGAATTTTCCTTTGAATTTATTTTAGATATGTATGATATTTTCAATAAGCTAATTGTACTTTCGGCTAAAATATCAAAACTTTTTTTTCATTTCTTGCTTTTTCTACGAAAAGCACATGACCACTTTCCTTTCATTATGCGCTAGTGACGTTCGGAAACTTCCGTTTTGTCAGACATTCTGTCGCTAATTGACTAAGTTCCACCCAGTCAGCAGATAAAAATAGTAATGGTTTTGCTAATTGAAAATGAATTTAATATTTTTTGGCAAATACGAGCACGTGTGTATCGGGAAAAAAATAAAAATCGCATTTTTACGTTTTGTTTTAAAAATACTGCCAGCGAAAATTCAAAAGTACTTGGGGAAATTAGGGAAAATAATATTACAAAATTCTAAAAAATCAAATGTCATTTTTAGCACATTATTACACGAAAATTGAATGTGCTATAAATAAAAAAAATTGATTTTTTTATTATTTAACACTTCTGAGAAAAATGTTTTAATTTTTTTTTTTTTTTAATAAAAAGTTTTAACTTGAGATTATTGGGTTTTGTTAGGGAATAAACTGTATTATCCTTGAAAATAATAACACTCACGATACGACGTATACGGCACGTACATTAGGGTGGTCAAAAAATACACAGGAAAATCAACTTTTAGGAATTTTTCGCATATGAAATAGATGTATGGATTTTAAAATTAAAAAATACGCGGCTTCTTATTTTTATATATTTTTCAGTACTGGCGTTGGCTTCAAAAAAAAAATATATATCTTGGACCAGCCAAATGTATGTACATAGGATGTACTAGTATGGAGTTCAGAGTCTTTTGGATATCAACAATTAAGTATCATTCGAAAGCTGGTAATTTTGTTTTCGATCCCGATAATCTATTGTATTAAAGAAAAATGCTTTTAGGCATATGCACATAAATTTGATTTCTTAAGCAGTTGTATGTTTACGCTGTAGCCTAAAAAAATAATCATTTCCAAAGCTTCTAGCAACGAATTTTCTTCACATACAAACACATGTGCGCATGAACTCACATAATGTACATATGAATGTAAACTTATGCTCTCTTTATCTTTTTATTCTAAAAAATTTAATTACTCCAACAACCGTTTACAGTTAAAAATGACATAAAATTGCTATTAACTGCATTAAAAATGCCAATAAAGCAATGTCGTAAAATGCTTTGGCAGGTTTAAACATAAATCTCAAAACAGTCTCCTTTTGTAATTCTTTTTGGTACACAAATTCTTTGATGAATATATATTAAGAAAAAAAATTAAAAAAAAAATAGATATTACTATTTATGTATGTATGTATGTACATATGTAGTTAATACCACACGAGCAACACAGGGCGTATGAGTAATGCACTGCAGCACCTAAATGTATGCAATATTGGGAGCGCAAAATGCGCTTGCTTTCAAGAAAATGTGTGCGAAATACGAAAAAAATAAAGTAATAAAGCGAAGAGCAATTTGTAAAAAAGTATATAAAAAAAATATACCTACGCATATGCTTACCTACATTCATATACATATATACACATTTACATATATGTATGCTCGTGTGAAAATACAAAACTTTTTGGCTTGCACCAGCTGGTTAGCTTAAGGTGTACCTCTATTTGTATAAGTCTTCATCTGCTTATCTTAACAGCTAAAACGAATACCCCAAAGACCAGGTTCATGTACTGCAAAATGATTAGCCGTATAATAAATTAATGGAATGGATGTGTCTAAAAACAATTTGGAAACAGAAAATTTCAGATTCAAGACAGGCAGTATCTTTCGCAGTAACGACGAACTC